GCTGGAGAGTGCTTGCCTTACACGTGTGTGACCTGGGTCTGCTGCCTAGCGCAGCAAAACAAACACACACAGTTTCCCCCCAAAATTCAGAATAAAAAGGGACAGTTTTGCGCTTGATCCAAGCCACTTCACATTTTGTTCATCTGTTTATTTATATTTACCTCACTCTCAGAGGACTGCAAAGGCCCTCTGGAGAAATGAGATTAAAATCCAGTCAGTGCTGGCCATCCGGCTTGACACAGCTCCTGAGGTGGGTGGCAGAGATCCACTCCAAAGCGCCAGGCCAAAAGGGGCAGATTTTGGGATCTGCAAGCACCCCACACACCCTCAGAAAAGAAACAGTGCCCATAATGGGCCAGCCCAGTCCATAGCCCTGGCTGCCCTGATCCTCCAAATATCAGAAGCAGGGTATGACTGAATTCCCTTTTCTTGGTTTTGTCTTGGGGGTCACATTGAGAGGTGCTCAGGGATCACTCCTGGTGGGCTCGGGCTCGGGGGACCAGCTGGGGTGCTGCAGATCGAACTTGGGTCCTCCAAGTGCACGGCAAAGGCCCTACCTGCTGGACTATTGTTCTGGCCCCGGGTCTACTTCTTCTTATCAGGTCAGGGACAGAGATGCAGACACAGGATGCCTGGGACCCCCAGCCCTCTTTCATTTGGGGGAGCAAAAGTTATTCTAACACAATAGATCAAAAAGACAAGTCTGGGGTGAAAAGTGACTGCTGCCTAATTGAGAATCGAGAAGCAGTTCAACATAGGATCAAGAAAAGAGGGGCTGGAGCCGGTAGGGCGTTTGCCTTGCACACGGTCAACCCAGGTTGGATTCCCAGCATCTCATATGGTTCCCCCAGCCCTGCCAGGAGTAAGTCCTGAGTGCGTGAATCAGGAGTAACCCCTGTACATAGCTGGGTGTTACCAAAAAAGCAAAAACCAACCAACAAACAGAAGAGGAGAGCATCCCTCCCCCCGCCCCGTGAGGGAGGTGGACAGGCCACCTGCCCCGGCCCCACCCGCCTGCCTGCGCACACACCACAGTGGGTGGAAACCAGGGCAGGTGATGTCCCATAAATGTAATCGTCTTTCGATTACTGAATTAACAGGAAGAGAGAGGATATACACAAGAGAGCCCTCAGCGAGAAGCAGCCTGGCACCTTCAGAGGAACAAATAAAGGAAAACTCAATCTCACTCTGTAATTATTAAATCTGGGGCTGGCAGTGGTGCTAAGCTATAACATCCACATTTGCATAATAGGATACAAAGAGCCGAAATGGCTGGAAGATGATCTTCAAAGGAGAAATGGAACATCCGCAAAAGGTAACTGGAGAAGTCGTGAAAAGAAGGGTCCCTTCATATTTAACACTTGTGTGTTCATTAGTGATGTAAGGGAAATCCATTCTATAAAACGACACGCATGTGTGCATGAGCGCATAAGTGCACACACACACACGTATAAGAGGGGTGGCAGTTCAACTAATATCTGATGAAACCATAAAATAAAATAAGATAAAACAGACACAGCAACAATAGTTAAAAGGAATAGATAATGGGGCAGGGATATTGGTAGGTGGTTAAATGAATGCTCCCCACATAGGAAGCACTGGGTTTGCTAATAAGTTTCAAGTGGATAAACGCATCACGTTCATTTGGCAACAAGAGTATATTGATATAGACTGACCCTACTGTTTTTGGTTTCTTTTGGGGACACACCCAGCTGTGCTAGGGATGACTCCTGATTCTGTGCTCAGGGATCATTTCTGGCAGGTTCAGGGGACCATATGGGGCACCAGAGATGGAACCTGGGTCAGCCACATGCAAGGCAGGTATCGTATCTGCTGTTCTATGGCTCCAGCCCCTGACCCTACATTTACTGTACCACTGCACTGTCCCCTAGCACTGTCCTCTCGTTGTTCATCGATTTTCTTGAGCGGGCACCAGTAATGTCTCCATTGTGAGACTTGTTACTGTTTTTGGCATATCAGATATGCCATGGGTAGCTTGCCAGGCTTTGCCATGCGGCAGGATACGCTCGGTAGCTTGCCAGGCTCCCCGAGAGGGGCGGAGGAATCGAACCTGGGTCAGCCGTGTGCAAGGCAAATGCCCTACCCACTGTGCTATGGCTCCGCCCTAACCCTACTCTACTTTTACAAAAAGTAAAAAGAAAGATCGAAACTTCTAGAAGAGGTCAGCCAACAGAAAAGCCGGGTGCCTCCTGGGAACTCGGTTTGCTTCCAGAAGCAGAGAGACGAGGGAACTACAAAGTGACAACAAGTGACCCAGCACATCCGATCTCCATGTAAGGAGACCCAGCCTGAGAAGCTAGACACAGTATAATACACACTCACTGGTGGGAGAGCTAATACCAGAGTTAAGGCAGAGGCCTTGCTGGTGGCCAGGCCTGGTTCAACCCCCAATGCCACACAATGCTCCAGTATCGCAGGAGGGCCCTGGAGCACTGCTGGTAGCCTGGGATGATCTGGCACCGCTCAGGTACACAGTGTCATATGCTCAGGGGCTGGAATTATACCAGCAGCCTGATTAGCCAAGCATCACTAGGAAGGATCCTAGGGCCTTCCGAAAGCCACCTCCCCCTCCAAAAATGGGACAGTAGGGACCAGGCATGGCGTTTACTAGTAGCATGCATGTTTTTCACATGTATGGGGCCCTGGGTTGAATCCCTGGCAACACACACGCAGACACATACACACACACACACACACACACACACACACACCCCAAATGATAACAGAGTTTGTGAATTACAACCACAGGAACCAAAGAGAGGTCAGTAAGGTATAAGGTGATGGATACATAAACTTTCTATAAAAGAATGTTGATAAAGAAAATCCCACCTGGAATAAAAACAGAGGTAAAGGCAATGCTCAAAATATATGAGACGAATTAAATTGCCTTCAGGAAAGAAAAAAAATAATGGATGCACTCTCGTCCCCTGTAAGAGACGGCTTTCTCCATGGTTGGCCTAGGGTCACTCTTTATAAGAAGGGAAAGAACATGGTATGGAAACCCTAAGAGAGACGGCAGCACTGAGCTATTTCTCACCATGCAGGGGAGATTTCCTTAACATTTCTCTAAGCAAACTGCTTTAAAGGCAAAATGATACATGGGATTCTGCTGATCTCAACACATTCCCTCCGATATTCTAAGACAACAGCAGAAATACCTGAAATGAAGAAGGGGTATCATAAACTAAAAAAAAAAGTTCCGTGTGAGTTGCTTGTATAGGGATATAGGGAGAAATAAGAAAATATTGGAAGAGTGGAAGAGAGAGACAGATTGATTTTGTTGCTGTTGTTGTCCATTTCCTCTCAAGCCCTGGAGCTCCAAGCGCATCTGCTCCAAGTCAGAGTTTATTAACAGCAGACCCCCTGTGGGAGAGACCATTAGGTTCCTCTAGCAAAGGCTCCGCTTTGTATGGGGCTATAAAATCAAATGAAGAGAGGTTTTCTTGCCACTTTTGTTCTAAAACGAGAAACCTTCCTCTCTCAGGGAAATATTTTCATAGTTATGAATTGCCCAGAGGCCAAATGAGTGTCATGTAGCTCATCAGACTTTTACTTAGCATATAGTTTGAGCCAAATGCAGCACGAGCTAGTATATTAAACTACCTAACATGAAAAATATCTTCAAACGTAGATAAAATAAGGCATGATACTGCCATCAAAATTTTAGGCTCATTCAAAAAAAAAATAGAACATTTAGAAACAAAAGCAAATGGACTGTTGGACTCAATCTAATTGATATGTTAAGATATTTATTATGCAAAAGTATGTTTATTATTTGCCACCAAATTTCCTTATTGCCACCATCACTTCACAGAGAGGACCACTAGTGAACACTTCTGGTCTAATCTTCATTAAGAGCTCATTCCTCAAACACCAACGTTCCTCAAAGGGAAGCAATATTTGGAGGGCCTTACAACTCCAATCTTCACAGTACCATTTTTCCATTCATTGTTTTAGAATACTCATCAGTATAAAAATATAAGTAATAACAGGAGAAACGCATGTCAAAGAGTGTCAGTCTGTTTTTTGCTCCTTCCTGTTAACAAGTTAAAGGCACCTGTTAAAAAAGTGAGACAAGGCACACAGTGAGATACAACTTTCTTCTCAATCTTCACTGACTGGAGAGATCGTACAGAGAGAAACATGCTTACCTTGCATGCGGTCAACCCTAGTTTGATCACCACCACCACAAATGATCCCCCAGCCAGAGCAAGGAAATGGCCCCTGAGGACTGCAGCCCCTGCCACCCCACCCTTCACCAAGAAAGAAATATTAGAATGCTTAATGTCCTCTATTATTTGATTTTTTTCTAGACAGCATACTGGTCTAAAGAAGCAAAGCAATTTACTACAAGAGGTGTTGTGACTCAGACTTACACGATCTTTCAATGGCAAAAAGTGTCAGGATTCTTGAATCTGCAAATCTAGAGAAGGCAATTCATTTATCCATTGTCAAATAGCTAATTAATGGCACTGTCCTCCCGTTGTTCATCGATTTGCTCGAGCGGGCCCAGTAACGTCTCTACTGGAGACTTTGTTGTTACTGTGTTTGGCATATCAAATACGTCATGGGTAGCTTGCCAGGCTTTGCCGTGCAGGCAAGATACTCTCGGTAGCTTGCTGGGCTCTCCGAGAGGGGGTGGAGGAATCGAACTTGGGTCAACCATGTTGGCTACATGCAAGGCAAACACCCTACCTGCTGTGCTATCGTTCCAGCCCTTCAGCTAATTAATTAAAAACTAATATATATTATGTATGTATAATATATAAACTCATATACACACACTCTTCCATGCCATTGGGCCTTACTGCTATCTATTCCTCCCCCAGTTGTATCAGCTGTTGAAAAAGATTCTTCATCTAATGTTGCCTAAAATATCAGCCTCTTGCAAATTTGATTTTCGAGGATTCTCATCTAAATTATTGATGGTTGTAAAGGTTCCTCTCTTGTGCTGGCCCAGACGTTCCGCTGCTATTTACCTCTCATGGGAGATTTCATGGCCGCTTCTACCATCCCCACGAGAAGCTGAAGACTCTTGGGGTCCTGAGCCAGTCCAGAGGCAAAGGCTGCCAGGGCATCGGCATGACGTCCAAGGTACTGGAGGGCGACGCCCTGTCGGAAGTATGCCTGCAAAGAGAGAGGGAAGGCACACGTGTTACTTAGATGCCAGGCGCCAAGGACGCTGGTGACAACTGTTCACTAGGCCACGGAGATCACTGGGTATCTGGTCTTGGCTCAAAAACTTAACAAACAACTTGCCATCAAATTTTGTTTCCTCTAGCATTGTGAAAATTAAGCATCATACTTATATTGAAAACCTTCACTCCTTTCCACTCACCGAACACCATTATCATCACATTTGGGGACACTAACTAATATAGCATTCTTATTGACTTTGGATAATTTTAAAGATATTTTTAATCTCACTTCTAAGAGCATAACTTTCTCAAAGGTAGGGATTATGGGATTTCTTTACATTTTACCAAAGTGTCTGGCATAGTACCTAAGTAAGAGACATGGTAAATAAGAGGCATTCAAATTGCACTTGTTTTTAAAAAAATTTTCTCCTGGGGAGGGGAAAATATTTTTTCTCCTTTTATATAATGGAAAAAAATCAATGTGATTATTAATACAATATTAATAATGAGTAACATAGCATGGCACATTTAGTGACATTTTCAAACAGAATTTAAAAGCCGTTACCCTGATGGTGGGGGAGGTGTGACAACCTGAAAAATACCAATGTGAAAGAGCAGCCCTAAAACATGTAAAGCAGAAAGCAAAGTTTTCACAATAAAGAGAAAATATGTGTGCCATGTTTAGAAACAAAATAAGAACACTGTCTCCGTGTTCTTTAATTGGATAAACTGAAAAACTAGCATTATAAGCTGTGATTGTAGGAAAATATTCTTCCTTCCAGCTAACTGCAGAAAATTAACAAAATATTTAAGTTTTAAGAAGGCTTAAGAACATGCAATTTTGCTCAGAGAAGACATACAGATGGCTCACAGACATATGAGAAAAGTGTTCGTCATCACTGAGTATCAGGGAATTGGAAATCAATGAGAAAAACACCAATGATGTGCTACCTCACACCGGGGGAACGCTTATCACCCAGCCCAAGGAGTCAAGAGATGGTGGAGAGGGGCCCTCATTCACCATTACCAGATGCGTTGTGTGGTTCGGCTTCTGTGGAAAACGTTATGGAGACGTTTCCAAAAAAATTACAAACAGGGCTTCTATAAGGTCCAGTGATTCTACTCCTTAGCAGACAGCCCAAGAACACAAAACCATTAACTTGAAAATATATGTCCACCTATATACAATAATGGCAGCACTATTTACAATAATTTCCCAGATCTGCAAAAACCCCGATGACCAATGACATATACATGCATAAAGAAGCTGTAGTGTATAGGCACAATGCTGCTATAAAAAAAAGAAGAAGAAATCTTGAGTTTTGTTTCAACTTGGATGAAACTAAAATGGTTTCGTGTCTAAGGAAAGAAGCCAGAGGGAAAAGTACCAAGTATCAAGGTCAGATGATCTCGCTAAGGTGTGGTGTGTGTGTGTGTGTGTGTGTGTGTGTGTGTGTGTGTGTAATATATATAGCACTGTCCCCCCTTGTTCATCTATTTGCTTGAGCGGGCACCAGTAACGTCTCCATCTTGAGACTTGTTACATTTTTTGGCATATTGAATACGTCATGGATAGCTTGCCAGGCTTTGCTGTGAGGGCGGGATACTCTTAATAGCTTGCCGGGCTCCCCGAGAGGGACAAAGGAATCGAACTCAGGTCCGCCACGTGCAAGGCAAAAGTCCTACCCGCTGTGCTATCACTCCAGCACATAATATATATATATATATATATATATATTATACATATATGCAAGGTAATGAATAGTATCTGGTGCAAACAAACCCTTAGATGTTGACAAAATGACTGAGGTCACCAAGTGGGGCTGAGTGTGCTGAGAGTTGGGAGAGGAGAGGACTAGAGGACAGGGAGGAAGGGTCCTTGGCATTTCAATAGACATGGGGGTGCAGTAACTTTGTACACCCAAAACATAAACACTATCATTGACCATGTTACCATAATAACAATAAAGTATCTTCTGTTTTTTAAAATGTTTTAAATTTTTTAACTGAATAACCATGAGACACAGTTACAAACTTGTTTGTGATTGGGTTTTAGTCATATCATGAGCCAACATCCATCCCTTCACCAGTGTACATTTCCCACCACTAATGTCCCCAGTTTCCCCTCCCACACACCCTACCCCTGCCTGCCTCTCTGGCAGTCACTTGTTCTCTCTCTCTCTCTCTCTCTCTCTCTCTCTCTCTCTCTCTCTCTCTCTCTCTCTCTCTTTCTTCCCTCTCTCTCCTCCCCGCCCCTCTCGTTTCGGGCATTATGGTTTGCAATATAGATACTGAAAGGTTATTCTGTATACCCCTTTACCCACTTGCAGTACTCAGTTCTTGTCCAGAGTGATCATTTCTATTATTGTCACAGTGGTTCCTTCTCTTAAAATATTTTTAAAAGAAATGAGCATAGTTTGTTTTCAAGCATGGAGAGTAAAAACAAGGAAATGAACCAAGTGTTTCTAGTACGTAGCCAGCCAAGGACCTTGTACATGATTAAATAGTACATTTAAAAATGACACCATTTAACGCATTTATGGCATATATTACAACATCTGCTTCTAAAATATTTGGCCTCCTATCTTAATAAAAATCCTCTAAGAAAACTACATGTTTATGACACTTATTTAATCTTTCAGTCCAATATACTTTAGAAGTCACACATTTTATTCATGGGATCTAAATAAAAATTTCAAGCAACTCCTAAAACTATACTACTCAGTAAACATAATTATCTAACTTTAAATTGCATATGTATACACACAAAGAGCGTGAGAGAGCACTTCTCATGTTTGCAAAACATATTTACTTACTGGATCTTATTTCCTTTTTATAACTACCCTTTGAGGTAATTTAAGATAGGCAATACTATTTAGTGTTTCTATTAAGAAACAATCCATAAGCAGAATGAATACTCGGATTATAGACTATTCAAGCTTCTATTAGTTTAAACTACCAGCAGCTGTTAAAACTCAGACCCCAGGAAGACAATAACCTGTGAATGCACTTTCATTACTAATTCATGAGATTACTTCCTTTCACTAAACTCAGTCACTGCTTTAATCTTTAATGTGTTTATAGCCATTTTTCATCACCCTTCTCATTTCTCATCTTAGGTAGTTTCTATAATCTAATAGGCAATTTATACTGACATGCCAACTAAAAAATAACTCTATTTTACAGAATTCTAGAAATGCTACGTTAAATCAATATTTTAAGTATATGTGTTTCTAGATAGACATGAAAATACCTATTAACTGTAGTCATTATAGCAGACAAAAATTTCAGTAGTCATTGATTTCGTTTATGTTAAAACACATAATAATTATCGTGGCGATCAGTTGGCAATTAATGTAATTCAAATCAGTATTCTACTTTTTTTTATTGTTTTAGGATCATACCCGGCCATGATCAGGGACTACTCTTTACTATTCTTTCTGGGGTCGCTCCTGGCAGTGCTGGACATGGAACACGGGTCACATGCATGCAAAACATGTGCAGTAGCCCACTGAGCTACTAATGACATCTAAATACAACAGGGGCAGGGGGGTGGAGGGGGATGAAACAAAAACTTAAACTAGTCTTAAAGAATTCTGATAAGGTCTTGCATTTTTTTTGCATTTTATTTATTTTTTATTTTTATTTTTTATTAGTGAGACACCATGAGGTACAGTTGTAGACTTACAAATTTTTGTGCTTGGGTTTCAGTTATACAATGATCAAGTACCCATCCCTCCACCAGTGCCCATTTCCTACCACCATAGATCCCAGTATCCCTCCCACCCCTCATCCCCCCCCCCCCCCATCCTACCCTGCCTCTGTGGCAGGGCATTCCCTTTTGTTCTCTCTCTCTCTTATTGGCTTGGAGGCCAGCCACACATGCTAGGGGGAAAGGCAGCTCAGATAGAGAAAGGAGCACCAAATAAAGGGTGTTGGGAGGATCCTCCCAGGATGGGAGAAGCATGCTGAAAGTAGACTATAGACCAAACATGAAGGTCTTGCATTTTTAAAGCAAAACTTTCATCATTCTTCACTTCCCTGGAAGGACAACTGATTTCCCCCATCTGCCAAAGAAAAGTCACTGAAAAGCAGTATTCATCTACTCTTGGAAAGGTAGAAAAAGCTCAGTATTAAATGCAAGTGGTGGTGTCAAGTTCAGACGACAGTTCTGAAATAGTTTGCATTCCCCATAGGCTTAGGATGCTCGGAGTGAGATGTGGTAAGCCATGACTGGATCATACCACCCATAATCCTGGTTTTCTTCCTTCAGGAGAAGATTCTAAAAGAGATATGGGATAAAAGACTCAAAGGTTTACCCTCGTCCTCCCTTTAAGCCATTCTAGAATCCCCAGCCCAGCACTGTGAAAAAAATTTCAGTTAAGGGAGGAGGGACAGTGCAAAGGTTCAGGCTCTTGCCTTACAGCCTGGGAGTGGCCTTGATCTCCAGCACTCTATGGAGGAACCCAGGCACTGCCAGGAGTGATCCCTAAGCACAGGACCAGGAGTAAGCCAGTGGGTACCAGTGAGTACCAGTGGGTCTAGTCCCCAAATCAAAAATATTCTCTTTTTCCCCTGGTTAAAAGCTTAGAGTTGTATCCCTGTCAAGAGAGCATAATTAGTCAAACCCTGATAACTCCCTGCTCCAAACTCATGCAGTGGGGGCTCCCCAACTTTCCCCCCCCCGAAATATTCAAATACACAAATAGCTATTAAATACAAAATAGCTGTCTGTTCTTTTGTGAGAGCTATGTCACTAAGTTAATGATGATCAAAACGAGACTGTGAGTTGTCACGGAATGAAAAGAAATCAGCACAGTGACTGACAATGAGTAAGTACGCAATAAAATTAGCGACGCTCTTATTTAATGGAGAAGAGGGGGATCATAACAAAAACACACAATTGTCGGTTAATGGAACATGAAGAGAGCCCAATCACTATTTTAAATACTTTATTAATCATAACAGTGTTAAAAAAAAAAAAAAAAA